AAAGGAGGTCTCACTGCTCACCCTCTGTGAACAGTAATAAGTGGCATCTAGGACTGGAGGGTCAACAGCTGGCCCTTCTAAACATTTTTCTCCACAGAAAGCTGACTAGCCCGTAAAGTTGTGGAGACGGCATAGCTTCAGCATCTGCAATGCGTGTGTCTCAGGACGTGGGTCTCCGTCCTTCCTTGCCGCTCTCTGGACATCCTTTTTGTCAGGAAACTGAAAAAATGGAGAGAGGCAATTGCTGGCCAGTGACTCACGGTCCGTACCTTCAGGGAATCCTCGGGATCTATTTATAGGAAAAGACAGGGTGGTCAGTTTTCCAAGTGGCCCTTATGAGAACCGAGTCTGCATTTTTTTGGCCGGTGTAAGCCATGCTGTAGTCCAGCCAACAAGAGGAACAGAATTTAGCAACATGTTTGAGCAATCTGCTAGTATCCCCGAGACGTGGGCTTCTGGCCACAGCACACGGAAACGAGTACAGAAAATGACAAGAGCAGCCCTCTAGATTAGTGGTCAGTCCAGGGAGAACTGCTTTTGTGATTGGTCCCTAAAGGAGAGAGCTGTTTCCTAGGATTTTCTCTCACCTGTGCGGCGCATTCCTGTTCACAGACCTAATCCTGCAGCACCTAACAGAGCATCGCCTGGCTGACGATACTCAGAGCTCACTTTTGGTTTGGTATTTACGGTGGTCATTTACAGAACCTCAGGAAGATGGAGTGAAGGAATACATAGACTGTTCTGAAACAATCTTTAGAGCAGAGCCGTGCTTTTCAGAAGACATAACGTTTTCCAGTGCACAGGGAATAAACAGTAAATGAACAGAAAAGCAATCATTTTGTAGGGATCTAGATATTAATAAACTCTTTTGCAAGCCAAATTAACTGAGGGAGAAAGTGGCCTGAGGGCTAATTTAAAAGGCACACTTAGGCACTCATTCTACCATTTATATTATGCTGAAGAATTTAAATGTCGCTTTATACCAATTAAGTTATGGCACAGTGTCCAGACTGCTGTTGTTTTTCAGTTGCTCGTGGCCTGCAGAGATATAGCCACAAAATTTCAATTCAATGAAAATACACTACACTTATCAACAGCCTGCTGTGGGAGCACAGAAAAGGGAGTGACTAACTCTTCAGGAGGGACTAGAGGCATCCAGGCTGGGCCTGCCCTGGCTACTTGTTTCAGGGGGTCCTGGTCTGGCCCCCTTTACTTGTGCTTCTAGTCCTGCGCTACACCATCACCCACTGAATACAGCTCAGGTGACTGCCAAGCAGGCTTCCAGGGCATGGGCAAGCCTGGCCCCTGGATTTGCTCACCTGAGGGCAAGCCAGGACCACAGTGTGACTTCACAACTCTCAGTGGTGGCCATGATAAATTCAAGGGCAGGACAAGGATAGGAACAGGAAGAGAATGGAGAGACAAGTCTTGAGAGCTGGAACTCATCTCTCCCTGTAGGGAGGCCCCAAATTCTAAATTCAAGTCAAGCATCCCAGATTGCTGATTGTCTTCTATGTAGAAGAGTAGGATGATTTACATAGCCGTTGAATATTTGGGGGGATGGAGACCTCCATATGGACTCTAGGTCCAGACCCCGTGTGTGCTAAAGTGGGCCAGAGGGAAGATTAAATTTCAAAACACGAGACCCATCTCTAGGGTCTCTGTGGGTGGTCAGTGCCATGCTGCTGGCCCTGGGGGAAAGGCAGCAGATACGGCCAAAAGGGAAGAACTTGCAAAACCACAGGAGCAGGACTCTGGCTTTGGGCTATGAGAAATCTTTGAAAATCTCTAAAAGAGACTTCATTTGATTGGATCTGGGTTTTAAGCTATGAGTCTGTGGAGGGAGACGGCTGAGCAGGAGAGAGACTTGGACCTGTTCAGAGCTCCCTCAGGGACTCCCAGTGCGGGTGTGTGTGGCCCCCACAGCTCGCTCTCCACCAGCCCTTGAGGTTTCTCAGTAGCGCTCTGCTCTTGGCAAAGACAGGATTTTCTCTGAGACATGAAGCAAGCGCCCAGGGAGAGAGCACGGAAGACACCAGCCTAAGGAAATGCCCTGCATGTGGACAATAAAATTCTTTATAATCTAAGGATAATCTGTCTAAAGCCCAAAACAACATTTTTCTTTCATGTGTCCTAAGCATCAAGAAATATCTATCTTTTCTATCACCGTCATCATAACCATTGGGACATTATGAATTCATGACAAAAAAATTAGCTTTTGGTTAACTTACACAATTGCTGTTACTTTGTGTACAGTATCCATGGTTTCTCTTTTCTTTCTATGGAATTAGCTGTGGCCAAGTGTAGACTTTCCTCTACCTCCCTCCTTCACTTCCTCCTCCTCCACCTCTTCCTTTTCCCACTCTTCCTTCTCCTTCTTCTCCCTCTCCCTCTCCTCCTCCTCCTCCTCATTGTCCTTCTTCTTCCTTTCCTCCTTCCTTCCCTCCTTCTTTATTTATCCTTTCTGTTTTTCTTTATGGGGCATCATACTTTTGTGAAGCTTGGGATGTACGGCTAGAGTTTAAAATTAGAAGTAAAATTGGCATTTCTGAAAGCATATGTCATGGAGGTCTCGGTGTTCCAGGAATAGGACCGCAAGGGTAAGGACTGGGCGGTGGAATTGTATGGAAGGGCACAGGAAATGTGTGAGCATTTTCCACTTCTAAAACCCCCAGGTTATGCATGTTGCTCTGACCTGGAACATCTGGCTGACCCTTCTGCCATACGTGCCAGGGACGGCTCGCAGCTTCTCCCGAAGGACACGCAGCCACTCCCAAATGCACAGGCAGAACTCATAGAACCATTCACTCATTCCTACCATTTCACGGAAACTAGCCCTGCACTTTCCCCCCTAAGTACTGAAGGTGAACATAAAGTTCAAATCTACACTGTATGTAGGATCATGTTAGTTACCTAAAAACTATCTTTTTATGTCCTTGTTAGTTATGTTGTATATTACAATTAACAACACATATGTTTAAAGATTTTGTACAACCATTTAACCACTGTGGAATAGTGGGAATAATTTATTCAACTACTACCCTATAAAATTTTTTAGACTTGCCTTCCTCTCAGATATTTATTAACTCATCTTCTGGCCAGGCTGTGTGCGAGGTTTGGGTATCCAGTGGTTGTAAAGTAGCTATGATTCTTGACCTTGTGAAAGATAGACAGCTACATCAGCAATACAGGGGCACCCTGAGAAGGCGCTGTGCAGAGCCGTGGGGATGAAACACAAGCTTCGTTGGAGACTTTGGACAGAGAAGGCAGGGAAAAGCAGTTGGGGAAGTCTTTCTGAGGAAGTAACAGCTAATCTGAGGCCTCAAGGATGATTAGGAATTAGTTCACCAAAACAGGGGCAGCAAGAATTTCAAAAAGAGCAAATCACATGAGTAAGAGAAAATTTAGCAAATCGAGACATTTTTCTTAACAATTCAGCACGGTTGATGTGTGACGTGTGATGGGTCAGAAGGAGAGAGGAGGAGAGGTGAGGATGAGTAAGAGGCTGAGTGTGGAAAGTGGAACAGAAGTCAGTTTAGAAAAGGTAGGTTAAGCTCGCTCTAGAGAGTCAGGTCTAATAACTGAGGCACTTCAAGAAGGGAAAGGACCCCACTGTGGCCGGAGAGTGAGAAGAAATTAGATGAGAAAGACTGAAAACCCACAGACCTGGTGTGAGGCCGCTAGAATCACCCAAATGCAAGAGAAAAGCGCCAGTGGCCTCTAGTAATGTGCCCCAAACTAAATTAGAGCTCTGGGGCAGTTTTACACAGAATCCTATATTTTCTTTAATTGTTAAAATTTATAATTGTGCACTTCTAATGTGATTGTTTCTTACTCTGTAAGACAAGAATCCCGTCAAACTTGGTAGCAGCTGTAACCCAAGCACATAGAAACGGTGCCCAGCAAATAGGAAGGACCCCCTGAATATTTATGAGTGGGTGAGGGTGCAGATGAATAAAAATGGGGGGTGGACAGACCCATGGGATACTAGGCAGGTGGAATCAACAGGACACGGTGATCACTAGTAAGGGACAACAGTCAAGAATCATTCCCAGATCCTGCCTTGAATAGCAAGGTGGACAATGGCGTCGTTTATGGAGCTTGAGGAAGAGGAGAAAGCAGGATTTGCCAGGAGGCTGCGCATCAGATTCAGTTTTATTACTGGAAGCTGCATTTAAAGTCTACCTTACCGAAGTAGTAATGAATCAAAAAAGCAAGCCAACAACAGATAAAAGAAATAAGCATAGCAGAAATAGAGATGAGCAAATGGTTTTTATTTTCACTGTTCCATTTTCCACAGGTTTTCCTTTCTAATTCTTGTATTTTACCAGACTAAATGATTTATTAAATTGTTATTGTGCCACATGTCTGCGTAGTAACACTGTGACTTTATGCCACCAACAAATCACATTTTCTAATGTGAAGTCATTCATCTTTATGTTTATAAAAACATTAAGAATCAAGAAAGAAATGTTAGGCTTGTGGGAAGACGGCAGAGATCATTTTGCTCTAATAATTTTCTTTTTACATTCTTGTGATCAAAATGGAAAGTTGAAAGTGAGCTTTCTTATTTTTATTACTAAACACTTCTAAACAGTATTGTCCCACCTTAAAGGCTTTGAGTAAAGTCAAGAGAGATCTCTTATATTGTATTTCAAATTGCAGCTCCCATGGTGGTGAGAGGAAATGTAATGTTCCAGATGAGAATGTAACATATTGAAGCCTGATTTAAGAATAGAGCATCTAAACAGTTTGTAAATGGCACTCTTTAACAATAGGACACAGGTTAAAAGAAAAAAGCCTGAAACACTCGAAGATTTTGCTGTAAATTTTAGGTTTCAAAGTCTGGAGGTTTACTTATGTCCCACTGCAGATGATGATCCCAGAATGCACTGGGTTCAGATTTCATGTTTAAAATGCTTGCCTTCCAAATGGATTCTGATGTAATTCCTTTTTCCTTGTTTCTTCTTCTGCCCTCCTCCTCTCCTTTCTCTTTGCAGGTGGTCCAGAAATGTATTCCTTTTCTAATCAGGAATTTGAAGGACCCAACCCATAACGACATCATCCTGAACATCCTTATAGAGATAGCTGGCTATGACCCGGTGGCTTTGAGCAGTTTTCTTCCAACACTTAAAGAGATTGGTGAGAGATTCCCCTGTCTCATTGGACAAATGGTGAGGATCTATGGAGCTGTTGGGCATGTGGATGAAGTAAGTTTACCTTTCTTGTCTTTGTTTCCCTCACCTCCCAGTTTTCCTGGGACTTCTAAGTGTTCCCATTTCTCTTCCAAACTTTTGGGTAGATTGTGACCTCTGGGTCAAGGTAGCAGGGTTGTGTGGCCAGATCAGAAAGGAAGGATTTCATCGTGTACTACCTGATAAAAAGGAGGGTTAAAAGGGGAAGAGCACACTCTGACCCCTTCAAGACTTTATGACAGCAATGGCCCGTAAAAGAGCTTTCTGTCATTTCTGGTTGTCCCAGCTCTATTTGTCCCAGGAGATCATGTGTAAGCAGGGAGTTAGCTCTCAGAGACGACCCATCAAGAAAGGGACCCCACAGCTATCGTGTCAGTGAGTGCCTGGACTCAGCACTGTATGTTCTGAGCCCTCTGGATGATGTTCTGTGGGAGAGTGAAATAAATGTTTGTGGAAGTCTAAAAGTTCTAGCCTAAATATTTGCATCATGGAATCTTTCAGCAGCAACAACTGGATGCCATCAGAGTTCATAGTGACTAAGAAAGTTTCTAGAAATGCAGGTCCCAAAGAGTATGGACATACACATCCACATACACAAAATATGTGTCTTTCTGATGATGTTAGATCAGGAGTTAGGGTTTTTGTCTTTTTAAAATAAAAGCAAATAAGTACTTGCTCATTGTTAGAAGCTTCTCATTTAATCTACTTACATGTATTTATCCATTAAGTATAAAATTGTCCAAATTTAAAAGGAATTTCGTAGTTCATCAAGTTCAACCCCTTGATTCTATACAAGATAGAAAAGAAACAGAAAGATTATATGACTTACCTAGATTTAGACCAGGCTAACTAGTGACCCAGTTTGAGTTAGATCTGTGGTATCCTTGACATTGGTTTTCAAATTTTGTATTAAAATGGATCTTTGGTGCTGTTCTACTTTATTTCTGCTGAGAGTTATGGGAAGCCCTAGAAAGCCTGGGCTGCTTCTTGGTGGAGCGCCCTTCTTCTGCCTCCAGGGAGAAGGCGACAGAACTGAGCTCCCACACAGACTGTGCACGTCAACGTGAGGGTGGAACTTGAGCAGAGATTGCTTTGATAAGGACGTGCTGCTTAGTGTCATTCCCTGCTAGTCACGGCTGTGGGAATGCTTGCACCTGCCGCAGCCAGCCTTCTGGTGGTGCTTTCCCCTGCTGCGGTGTTGCTAGACCAGCTTCAGCTGACCGCTGTTTGACTGGACCTGCTGGCCTTGCAGATCCTTGCAAGGACCAAATTATGCAGTCTCTGAGTGTAAGGCTCTGGAGTTTAATGGTATTTTTTTGGTTTGGTTTGGTTTGGTTTGGTTTGGTCACAAACACATTTATGATTCATTAATGTCTAACAATGCACATTAGAGGTGGTTAAACTTCCCACAAAAAATGAAATTATAAAAACCCAAAACATGACCTGCATGCAAGTGTGTCAGTCTGGGTTGGTCTGAACTAAAGCTAAAAAAGAGACTGTTCTGGTGGCAACATTCCTGTGACTCCCAGTGGGTGCAGGGTGAAGGACAAGTGGATCCAAGTACCCTGAGGAGCATAGCCATCCCTCAGTATCTTCAAGAATTGTTTCCAGGGCCTCTAGGATACCAAAAAGCTTAAGTCCCTTGTGTAAAACAGCCCAGCGTAAAACCCCCACACGTCCTCCTGTATACTTACATACTATATGCTATGGTTTGTGCCTAAAGCCTCATGCAGTCATGGGCGTGGGCTTCTGGAGGCTGTGATTGATTCATTGTCTAGTGCTGGGATTATGGGTGTGAGTGCTACCCTAGGGTGGGAGCCTTAATACAATACAAGGGGCAGAAAGAGTCTTCTCTCGTGCTCTTCCCTTTTTGCTCTGGCTGCTTTCCACCACCATGAACTGCTGCCCTCTGCCATGTGCCACCTTACCTTGTAGCCAGCTGATTATGGACTGAAACCTCCACAAACTGTGAGCTAAATAAACCTTTCTCTCTTTAATTTGGGCTTCAGATATTTTGTCTCAGAAACGAGAGAAAAGTAACCAAGACACTATGGAATAGTTGTTATATTGCATTTTTAGGAAATAATGACCCAAAAAGTATGTCCATGTTCATTACAGACAAAAAATTTTCCTGAGTATTGATTCTTGGTTGGGTAAATAAATGGGTGCAGAACAAGCAAATACAGAGGGTTGATTGTGATTAATTTCACAACAATTGTGATTTAATTTAAGTTTGTTTGCTTTTTTCCCTCAACCAAAACATTCTAATGGTTCTGATCCCTTCTATGTACACACCACACACACACACACACACACACACACACACACACACACACAAAGAGAGAGAGAGACAGAGAAAGAAAGAGGGAGGGAAAGAGAGAACAATTATAGGTTAAATAATTGTTATATGTACTGTATTTGAACATAGGAATTAGGAATTACATGTGAAACTTTTAAATAGCAGAGACTGGTCCCCTCTAGAATAGCTACTAAGTCAAACTATCCATGAAAGGGACCCAGGACCCTAGATCTATGGAAACATGTGCACATATTATTCCTCTATAGTTATTGGTAGATCAGCATTTGGGAACCTCTGACATAGAATACTTCAAGTGTTTTGGCTCTTAGATTTAGAATCACATCTTGCCTATCAGCCATCCTACCCTCCTCCATATATCCATTGCTAATCAATTTAATAATTTTGTAGACTGCTGACATAACAGTGTAAAGTGGGTTTGGCTGAGAGCAACACCAGAATCCAAAACAACAGTGATTTGAACAAGACAGGCCTCGATTTCTCTCAGACTTGCAGAAATCTACAACTCCATATTTCAGAGACCCAGGCTCCTAGCTTACTGCCTTACCATCCCTTAGCACATTCACAGCACAAAACCTTCCTCTCTCGGTCCAAAATTTCTCCCGTCTCCACCCATCAAGTTAGAATCTCAGCCAGCAGAAAGGGGAAAGGAGAGAAAAACTCTGGCAGACAAAAATAAATTTTGTTTACAAAATAAAGAAAACAAAGCTGAATGTGACCCTATCTAGCTGCAAGAGAGGCTGAAACACATAGTCTGCATTCAAGTGGCCAAATGCCCATGTAATCAAGAGAGAAGGACAGAAGGGACAATGAAGGAGAAACAACCGTCTCTGTGCAGCTGGTCAAGTCATTTTATTTCTCTAGATCTTCTCTCTCTCTCTCCCTCCTCATAAATAACGGTTTTATACTGGTCTACCTCTCTTCTGGCTCTGATATTCTTTCATTACATTATTCTATATCATTTAGAATCATTCTAATAAATTACCTATAAATGTTCAGCAGGCTCCTTTGCTTAGAAATAATGACCTTATTTATTTCTAATGCCTAAAATCTTATCATTCAAACATCCTTCTTTTAACTTTAAGGGGATTTTTTTGAGTGCTGGGAATTGAACACAGGGCCAATCCAACTGCAGCACCTTGGTCCAAGTTTTAAATGTACAATTTGCAACTGATTGGAGTTTACTGTTAGAACCTTTCCTTGCTTGCTGTTTTCCTGCAAACCTGATGGTTTGGTCAGTAGGAAGAGGGCAGCCTCCTGAAATTATCCCATCATCAGCCCAGAGACATCCGTGGGAGTAGAACCAGCCTGGAAATACGCAAGTTACTAATTAGTCTATGCCTCACTGCCTGTGCTGCATGAAGCCAGGTACAAGAACTGAAAACCTGACTACTGGTAACCAGAAAGGGGTGTGACTGTCTTTCAGATCAGGATTTAGCTAGATGATCAAATTGTTTTCAACAGTTTGGCAACATTATCATAATTTCTCCATCTATATGAACTAGCATTGAAAAGTTGTATGTATGAAACAAAGAAACAAAGAAACAAATCCTGCAAACCCTATTTTTCGATCCCCCAAATTAACTCAGTCATCTTTTGGGTCTGAATTTAAATGAAGTTGTGTCTCCTAGCTCGGTAGTGCTTGTGTCAATATGGGAGGCTGAGTGACAACTCCTAGGCCATTTCTGAGTATGGGCTTGCTTCTAAATTGCATCTGTTGGATGGAGGGGTCAACTCAAAGGTCCAGAGAGCAGAGGAATGTGCTCTGGGGCCAACTGATGAGTTGTTGCTGATACAGGGCACATACGGTTCTTCACCTTCCAAGACTCCCCATGCCCTTGGAATGCACAGATGAAGTGAAGTCATAAATAAGAAATGGTATTTTGTTAGGTATCCCCTAATCATAGCAAAAATGTGTGTCTTTTGTGTTTCTCAGAGAAAAAGATTGTAATGGGAACCTGTCAGACAACAGCAGAAATTACTTTTTAGAAGCTCCCATGGGTCTCTCCCCACACATCCCTCCAGACAATTTATAGAAAGCACTAGGGCGGTGCCTGGCATATAATAAGTGCTTGATGTATTTCAACAACAAAACAATAGCAACACCAATATAATAAACCTGCCCGGCGCCAGCAAGAGAAGGTGCTTCTTTCCTATTGTAATTCAGCTTTCGTAGAGTTGCTATCCCACTTCCTTGCACAAAGTCTGCGTTAGCCCATTCAGAGTCTGCGGGATGCTATCAAATTCCTGGGCTTGGCCCAGCCTCCCTCTCTGGTTTCAGCTCTTCCCTATCTAGCCTACCTGTCCCCTGTGTTCTGTCTCACGGGCTTTTACTTCTCTCTGAATGCCACTGCATTCTGGTCTTCACAACCGTTTCTCAGCCCGGATAATCCTCACCTCCTCCTCCCATTTATCTTGCCTGACTCAGCTCAGATCCTCCCTCCTGTGTGAGCTTTTCTTGTCTTCCCTAAGGAGACTGAGTGACCCCAAGTCTACACTCCCTCCACACAGGCTGTGCCACAAGTGTCATATTAGCTGTGCGGTATTTTAATTCGCAAACCCTTGTCTGTTTCCCCTCCAGGAACCTCTTAGAATAGAAACTCTGTTATAGCCAACTGAATTCACTTGTGGCCGTGAATGATACTCAGGACCACTGTGAATTTAAAATGTGAAGGTTGACTTCTCACTTGACACTGTC